GCCGCTCCGGCCCCGCGAGGGCGGCCGTCGGCGGCCGCGCGCGCCCGCCCCACGCCCCGCGCGGCCGCGCCAACTTTTCCGCGAGGGCGGGCGCAGGTGTGAGGCGCCGCGGGGCCGCGCCCGTCGGGCCTTGCGTCCCCCCTGCTCCCCTGCGCGCTGTCTGCGGGCTCGGGGCTCCTAGGGCAGCACAGGGATTTCGTGTTCCCCTCACAGCAGGGGCGGCTCTTGGAGCTGGAGGAACTGGAGTGCGGGGCGGGGCGGGGCAGGGCGCAGTCAGGCCCGCGCGCCCCCGCAACACCCGCGTCCCCGGCCTCGGGCCCCAGGAGCGCCGGTCTGGGACACGCACTGGGGTTTCCTCCGCTTTGCTTTGGTTTTGCCCTTAAAACGGGTTCAAGGGCCCTCCCAGAGCCTCCCCGGTCTCCGGGTCTTTCTCCCCACTCCCCACTCCTCCCCACTCCTGCCCACCTGCCCGGCAGCCAGACGAATGGGGATCGGGGATCGACGCCCCTTTTCCCCACAGCCCCCCACCCAAGATCCCGGCCATCGCTTGAGCTTCCTCCCGGCTTCGTCCCTCTGGCCACTGCCCTAGGGAGGTAGCTCAGCAGAGCACAGGCACCCTCAACCAGGGAGGCTGAGGCCCATCCCAGCTCCCCCCACCCCGGCCCTGGGGCCAGGCCCGTGCCCTTCAATGTGGAATCTCTATTTCCTGCCAGCCCATTGCCAGCCAGGTGCTTTGTGCTCCCCTTGCTCTTCCTCCTTTTCTGCCAGAGAAGCAGTTTGGGGGGGATCTCCCCACTATGCACCGTGCACCATGGGACATCCCCAGATGTCCCTGCTGCAGCCATACTTTTTAAGAGTCCTTAAATGTTGGTGACCTAAATGACCCATCGGGCTGGAGGGGCTCAAGGAAACAGGCAGTGGGGTGAGCAGGGTCTTGGGCAGTCTTGCTAAGGAAGGAGCTGGCTCTCCGTCCCTTCTTCACCCATTGTGCTGCCCTCCCCATCTCTCCCAGCCCTCCTCTTTCAGGAGGGGCCACACTGCCTTCAGATGAGGGGAGGGGAGCAGGGCCCAGGCTCTCCCTGGTCTTTGGACAGCATCCAGCAACATGGTGCTGGCCTATTTTTGCAATATTTATATTTTGCAAAGGGAGGGGCCGGGGAGGCCTTGGGGCAAAGACATCAGGGAGTTAACAATCTACTCTTTCTCCTACTTTCCCCACTTTTCTCCTTTTCTCTGCTTGCTCTATAGTTCTAAATGGCCTCGCAGGGAGCTGAGCATCCCTCCCTCCGCCACTGCCCTTCCCACTGCCTTCCTGGCAGTCCCCACTCCTGGCTGTCGCACAGCCCCATCCCCAATCCACCCCTACATAGGAATAGCAGCTGGAGAGGCCCAGAAGCTTTACTGAACTGCCCTTGGCCCCAAAACCCCGAATAAGAGAATAGAACTACCCCAAGTCTAAGCCTGGGAGTCTGACTGCCCACACAGGGCACCCAGCACAGAGGACCATGTGCTGGAATCTCAGAGAGGACATCTGTGTCCAGGACCGCTGTGGGGTTCACACCTGCCTCTGGGTGCTGCCCCCATGACTCCAAAGCAAGGAATCGTAACAACAGGCTTGCAGCTCTGGCTGGTGACAGCAGGTGATCAGTCCCAACCCCAATCCTGAGCCTCTGCTCTTCTGTCTGGGCTACTGGGTATAGGAGGAAGCCTGGAGACATGGGGTAGAAGAGGTGATTTCTGGGTACATTTGAAGATGTCTGCACAGATGGGGTGCTCCTTGCATACTTGACCCACAGAGCCGCTGGCTGACTCTGAATATCCTTCTGGGATTCAGCTGAGGGTGGTCAGAGCCTGACCCCCGAGGAAGGTATGGAGGGGAAAGGTGTGCCTAAGTGGGACCACCTGGATTGGCCACCCAGTACCTCGGGGCCTTGGGCGGAAGGGACAGGACTGGAGCTTGGAGGATGGCAGCCAGCGGTGGAGGGAGGTGTGGGGATGCCTGGAAAGCTTCCGCCCTGCCAAGTCCCTGGCCAGGCAGCCAGTGCAGGCTGAGTGGGCCCTGCTCAAGAGTCAAAGACCTTCAGTGGAGGAGCACGGGTCAGAGAAGCACTGAAACAGGAGGATTTATGAAGGTCAGAGAAGGCGGAGGCTTCACGGTTTCGGGATGAGTCAGAGGCTGTGTCATGGAGGGGTCCCCAGATTATGCACCCCTCCTTCTCTGTCTCTCTCTCTCTCTGAGTGTATCTCATCATACCAAGAGGAGAGGCAACTTTTGAGGCTATGGCTCATCTTTGCTTTGAGGAATCCGACATGGTGACACCTGAGACCCCAAGGCCAGGCCACAGTGAGGACCTCCATGCCTGGGACTCCAAGGGTGGAAGCCCAATGCCATCATCTCCCCTGGTCTCCAGGCCCCGGGCCCAGAGCCTCCAGCTCCTCCTGAGACATCCCACTTGCAAGAGAAACAGAACAGTGGAAGGCAACCCAGTGGTCCCCCCAACCTAGGCTCCCCACGTCAGCACCAAGGAGAGCCATCTGCCCTTGCTGTCATGCTGCCATCACTGGTTCCCGCTCCCCCGCACCCCCAGGTTGCCCACTCACCCTCCTGAGCCTGGGGCTTTCTCACTCACCTGCCTGTTTACACACCAGGTATCTCATGCTTTATCTGCTCTCATTTTGCGTTTGTAACTTTCACATAAACTTGAACAAAGCTTCTTTTGTTCTTGCACCCCACCCCAGGATCCCAATAAACTGGTTCCATCTGAGGCGACTGGGCCAGGGCATGGAAGCCTTGGCCAAAGGACTGTGTGTGCCTGCGAACAAGCATGTTCGCACCTGCGAGGGAGCCCGCGTGTTTGCATGTGAGCTTGCTCCCGGGCTGATGGAGGGAGGGTGTCGGGAGAGCCGTGAGCCAGCGAGGTGGACGGGAAGCCTGGGGGCTGAGGGCGGGCAAAGCCAGGGCACCGAGGTACAACCACGGGCACGGGAGGTCAGGGGCCACAGACAGGTGGGTGTTGGGGCAGAGGGTCAGCAGGATGAGAAGGAAACAAAGGGGAGAGAGGAGCCACAGAGTGGGTGGCGGAGCGAGGGCCGTGCCGAGTGTAAGGCAGACGCAGGGATTGCATTATGGCAGGAGAGGGGCTGGCACAGCCTCGCGCTCGGCCCCGTAATCCTGTTAGCCAGCAATCTCCATTCCGAAAGAGCTTCATTTCTTTGTGAATATTTGTAAACTAGATATCTAATGGAAAATTATAGGAAAATTATAGTGAAATTCATGACGGAGAAATCCGATTATCCCTAATTCAATTATGCCATCTTAGCCCACACAGCACAGTTCCCATTTTTTTCCCATAAATACCGATGCCAGGGGTCCCGGTAATCAAATAAAATTGAAAATCATCTTCCCATTAAATTCAATTAGCCGCAATTTCTAAAGCCTATCAGAGATTTTAATTACTAAATTATAAAATTCTCCAATGCTAAATTGAAACCAAAAAAATTGCACATCCTTATATTTCAGAGAAAAAAAAAGAGCCAGCAAAATCCTTGAAAAATGCCCTCTTCTCTGTGGCCGGTTCCAAAGCAGGCTCCCCACCTGGAGGAGGCTCCCCTTCAAGGCCTACTTGTCCGGCTGGGGATCAAGCCAGGGGGCCAAGGAGGGGCCCTGGCAGGGGAGGGCCGAGGTGGACTGGCTTACCCGGGGGGTGAGCCCCACCTCCAACCCCACCAGCTCCTCCACACTGGCCTCCCTCTCCGGGGCTGTCCTGGCTCCCGAGAAGCCCTCGGCT